GTGGCGGGAAAGATAACCAGTGCAACTCTAAATAAGTATTAAAAATACAACGACTACAGGGCAATTAGTCATCGTATTAATTATTAATATCTGCTACTGATATTTAAAATTAGTAAAGATTAATAAACTAATGCTATATATGTTTCATATTTTACATGTCTTTCTGGTTTTTTGTTTTTGTTTTTGTTTTTTTGTAAGAAACATCCATGAAATAAATTTTAGTTTTTCTTTGTTATCTACAACAAAACAAAGTTTCACATTCTCCTAGGGTTTCAAATATTTATGATGCTTTAAATTTTTGTGATTTGATAGTGAGCAAAGTATAAGGACCACAAGAGCATCTATACATTAATTTTTATAAGACTATACAAAAACCCAGCTTAAATTTTAGTTATGGGTATGGCCATCAAATTCTTATTTACAATAAGTTCTTATTTAGGACAAAGGAGCTTCCAAACTTACTGTACATATTTTCTTCAAAAGAAACAGACTAATGCTAATATTCTTTAGGGCTACATCTAGCTCAGTGTTGTATACTTCATTTTAAACGATATTTTTAATGATGCCTCTGTCTGAACATCTTAACAGAGATAAGTGATTTAGCAGACCTTCAAGGAAACAATGTTTGAGTTTAGCCTTCATTCAGCTGGATCTCTAATGCTCCCTTGCTGAACCTAAATGCGGCTATGTATCACATACACATGCTTCAAACCACTGTCTTCCAATGGAAAGCATTGATGTGGTCCCAGAGTGGTGGTAGAGAAGACCCAAGCAATCTGATGACAGGGGGTCAGTAGATGAATTGGTCTTACTGAAAGGGAATAATTATTCTCAGCTTCACTGATTATCAACGTAATCTTTTAAGCAATGGCCAGGAAAAATGATCATGACCAGAAGACATCTTTCCTCTTTAGTTTCTTGCTAAACCCAACTAGTCCAGCTAAGACCCGAAGAGAAGGAAAGTAATGAGCATTAACAACGATGAAGGTAACAGAATAGGGAAGACAGGGGCTGGGGGAGGGAGATGAAGAAAGACCAGGGTGGTAGTAAAGAATGCAATGGCAGCTGTGATTGCGCCCAGGTGGTGGGCACTGAGCATGCACAGTGGTTGCCCAGAAAGCATCTGTGAAGCTGAGTTTGAAACAAGCATTGAAGAGGCCTCGGCCCCTCCCCCGTTCCCCATCCACTCACTCTCCCCGGCCTGATGGTCATGCACAAATATTTTAATAGCAATGCTTTGCATTTAGAGATTAAAGGCCTTATACAAGCGCTGTAAAAAAAAATCAAGCAAGCATTGTTTAGATGTAGATTAGATGAGGAGCTCAGAAGGGGAGACGTGGGCAATCCCTGTGATTAGTCCTGTGATCTTCATGAGAATCCATCCTGCTCCCACATGGCCTTGAACACGGGGCTAGTTTGCCCTGTAAGGACACATACTCTCACTGTTTGCTTCTGCTCTCTCAAATACTGCTCAGTGTTTTACTTCAAAGCATCCCAAGAGACTAATCATACAAATCAAAACCGTTTTTGAATTCTACTATTGATGTCCTGTCCTCCCACTGATCTAGATTCGGATACATGTACACATCAGTATATTTAGACTTAGTCGCACCTGCACAAGATAAGTTACACTTGTTTAAAGTTAGCAACACGTCAAAAAAAAAAAAACCAACAAAAAATAAAAAATAAAAAACAGTCTTCTCTGCCATGCACAGACTATTGTTAGCTAAACAATATAATTCCTTCTAATCAAATAACCACTGTGAAATACCTGATTCACTTTGCACCCAACAGCTGGGGCTGTAGCTTGTGTTTCCCAGCCTGAGCCCCAAACCAACACAATAGGAAGGGCTGAAACAGCTGCAAACTCTTGGGATAAAAAAAAAAAATTTGCTAAGCAACGTTGCCATTAGGCTCGAGGGTAGGAAGGAAGTAAAATCATTTCTCTGTGTTTTTCATGTGCAGCAGCTGCCTTGGGAGGGAAAAAATATGTTGATTTCTGTTTTGTAACAGAAACACTATAGTATTTATTAAAACATGAGTTGTAGAAACTTAGCTTGGCTACGAATTTAGACGTTTAGTCCAGTCAAAACACTGGAAGAGTGTGGTGGCAAGTGACTCTGGCAAAGCTCCCCGAGGACCTCCTGCCTTCTCTATACTCTTTACGTCTTCCCTCCACTGTATTTGATGTAAGCAGCCTGGATTTCAGTGCAGTTGGCTGCCTGATTCTGTTGACTGTCAAACGCTTTAGGTTTATTTATATAAAACTTGATGGAACACAACTACCGTAGAAATAAATTCGTTGTGGCCCCTGCAGCCTCTTATCTACATGCACTGTTGCTGCCAGGAAAAGTCTCATCTCCTCTATCAAAATTTTATTTCCCCAAAAGCAGGTTCTGTGTTTCCTTTGTTTCATTCACTTGCCCAGGAAAAAAAAGTCAGTTGGATCTTAATATACACTTGATGACTTTAAAATTACCTGGCTAACAAAAATATCAGACAGCGACACCAACACCTATTATGTAATAATTTATAATTTTTACCATTTTTTCTTTGTGCCACTCATGGCAGAAGATAGCATCCCTTCCCCCATACACAATAAGAGATGAGAATGAAGTATAAACTACAGAATTTTAGTTAAAATTGGTATATAGTTATATATACATGATATATCTCTTGTGAGGGCATGAGTTTTTTTTTAATAACTTACTTAAAATGGGATTTTATTATAATTTTAACATTTGGAGAGATAATGGGCAACTTAGAAAACAGAAAAGGAGAAATAAAGATGAGGGGAAGCAAGCCATTCCCACATGCACATCCGGAATTCACCAGGCGACCGCTTCTCCTTCAGATTCTTTCGATTTTGGTAGCAGTTGTCATCAGTGTAAATGAAGAATGCATGTAGACACAAACAGTGGGATCCCTTTTCAAACAGCCACATTGGAATGGGAACATGCGTAAGCGTGTGAAGGGAGTATGTGCCCCCTTCGCAGTTACAAAGAGAATTAAATGACCAAGGCTGGTGAGGCAGGTACACAGCATACCAGCTTGGGGGAAGGGGCGAAGAGGAGTGGTCAGCTGTGATGGGGTAGTAGTTGGGGGACTGTGGGAACGCTCACATTACAGGATCTCTGCCAACATTTTAGAGATAGGAAGGTTTAACTAAATGCTTTGTGACTTTGAAAAAGTTCCACCATGTTAAGAGCATATGAGAAATATGACTTGCTGTTCTTAAGTTATGGCAGTAATAAATATCCAGATTATGCTAAAGACAATGAGGATTCCCAAAACTTTGCTTTGTTAAATAATACAGACACAGTATGCCTAAATAGATAAATTAGAGGAAAATCTCACCCCCTTCAGTTGGTTTACTAGATGCCATTATCCAATCAGGATATTAACTACCTCAGACATTTATAAAATTAGCACCTTCCTTTATAAGAAATTCTTAATATTATAGAAGTTACATAGATGTCATCATCCTTCTGCACTAATTGAGAATCTACCCACGAACTCATGCTGAAAGCACCAATAACTATTAAAGCAATAAAACAGATCCACCAGGAGGGGTTGTTAATTTCTGCAAAGTGCTATGATTCTTGTAGCTAGGAAACACTAACTCCATCAAGTCTGAAATGTGAATTTTTATTTTATGGATATACTGTCACTAAAAGCATGTTTTTTTAAAAATTATTTATTATTTATTAAAATTTCTTCACTTTGTATCCCTGTTGTATGCCCCTTCCTTGTCTCCTCCCAGACCTACCCTCCCTTCCTCTTCTCCCTCAATACCCCTCCCCTAGTTCACTAGTAGGGGAGGTCCTCTTCCCCTTCTATTTGACCTTATCCTATCAGGTCTCATCAGGACTGGCTGCACCCTCTTCCACTGTGGCCTGGCAAGGCTGTACCCACCAGAGGAAGGTGATCAAAGAGCTAGCCATTGAGTTCATGTCAGAGACAGTCCCTTTTCCCTTATTAGGATGCCTACTTGGAGACTAAGCTACCAATGGGCTACAGCTGAGGGTTTAGGTTATCTCTATGCATGGTCCTTGGTTGGAGTATCAGTCTCTGTAGGCCACCCCCAAGCCCAGATCTTTTTGGCTCTGTTAATTTCCTTGTGGAGCTCCTGTCCCTTCCAGGTCTTTTATCTTTCCCCTTCTTCCGTAAGATTCCCTGCACTCTGCCCAAAGTTTGGATATGAGTTTCAGCGTCTGCTTCAGTAACATGCTGGGTAGTTTTTCAAGGCCCTCTGTAGAAGGCTACTGTTCTGTTCCCTGTCTTTTCCTGCTGCTTCTGATGTCTATCCTGTTGCCCTTCTGAATGAGGATTAAGCATCTTCCCTGGGGTCCTCCTTGTTGTTTAGTTTCTTTAGGACTGTATAGATTTTAGTATGTTTATCCTATATTATATGTCTAATATCCACTTATAAGTGAGTATATACCGTGTGTGTCTTTCTGCTTCTGGTTACCTCACTGAATGAAGCCTGTTTTTAAAAATTAATTGAGTATCTGAGCTTCTTTGTGTGAGATTCCACCATTTTGCAGAACAAGGAGAGCCTGAGCTACAGTGGGATTTCGACAATTTCCCTTCATGATTCCTGCCAACATCCCTCAGGGACGTGAATGTCTCTTCTCATGGACACACATGGTTCACACAATAGCTCTCCTTTGATCCACAGTTTCCCCTGAAATAGGAAAACACTGCCTGGAAGTGCTTAATTGTTTCATTTTTTTTACTTTCCAATCATGTGATAGAAGTTATGAATGGAAAAAAAAAAAGACCATTCTAGACAAGAAGATTAAAGTAACCACATTCGAGTTGAAAGGCTCAAAAATTTTACAAAAACAAGCTACCATTTCATAAAAAGTAGGCCATGCTTCATTGTTGGCTTTCTAGGTACTGTCTCTAGTTTCTACTATGATGCGCACTTTATATTCTGTTTGTAAATATCTTGCAGTGAAAACAAATCAAACTAATTACATAAAGGAAGCACTCACCTGCATGAAGCGACCTTCTGATGTCCCTAGATTAGCAATGGTGAGGTCACCTTTGATGAAGGTTGATATGGAGGTCAAGAGCACTTGGTTCAGCTTGCCCATGAATAAGTCAACACGCTGCAAAGCTGTGGTAAACTCTGTCCGGTACTCATCACTGCGCACTTCACAGCCTGATGAATTTCTCAGCAGGGTCTGGAACAAAATGTGGCCACAAAGTTAAGGCAAGGCAAAACGAAACAAAACTGGTAAGTCACTTCGCTCCATGTTATCAAAGAGCTTGTTCAGGGTATCAAGGATAATTGCACGACCAGGCAAACAGTCCTAACCGTTCATGAAATGCTATAGTGACCTGTAGGCCCTGTTGCACGTACAGACGCTCAAAAACGGGAGGCAAAGCTTATCATCTCAATTTTACACTGTGGTTCAAATGTGTACGCATGAAGATGAAACCTGGATGCTAATAAAGAAAAACAAAACTTGAAACGTCTCATTTCTTGACATAAGTGTACAGTTCCTAGCAGCAAGTCCTGTGAAATAAATTTCAGGTATATTATTATTATTTATTAATTATGATTAAGCATTATTAATTATGATTAACAATTAATTATAATAAGTTAAAAGTCATACTACGACATATTTTAAAAGTCATGCATATGTGCATCTTGCAGGGCAAAGAGGTGGAGGGAGCACACGCCAACTGCCTTCAGCAAGTCTTGGTCCTGAATACATGTGCATTTTGTACAGTTCCTATAATCTTTCTGTGTTCAGAAACTGATGCGATCTCTGCTCTATTCTCTCCATCTGTGAAACAGAGCTCCCTACAGAAAAACATCCCCACCACACAGAATTGTTGCGAAGACTAAATTAACTACCTCATATGAATCTCTTGACAACAGAACCAGCATGCAACACTTTACCTTAGCCTCTGTCATCACCGAGGGAAGGGTTAAAAAAAAAAGTGCCCCCCTAACATCTCAGTTAGCCGCTTCCTGTAAGACGAGGACCAAACTAGTAAACCTTCAAATTCGGGTGAAAGAGTTGAAAAAAAAAATACTGTTCAATAACGCAGCACAATGACAATGAAGCACCAGGGATGCCTCCCTCTCCGTACGCATTCAGCCCTCTGGTGTTTCTCTAACCCTTCAGACCTAAGCATTTGTGGTTTCTTGTGCATCCACATCAGGTTTCCCATAGGCTTCCCAAGGCTTCTAGGGTCACTCCTGGGCCACGTGCTCATCATACTCTCCCTGGCAATCCGTTTCTCCTGTGGCATCTACCTTATTGACCCTACATTTGTATCTCCATCCTCATGTCTGAGAGATTTCAGGCTTAGTATGACTCTTCTCCTCCATTCCTGACCTTATGATGTTATACATCTCACAGAACGACTCTTCCATCTCTCCAGATGGACAAGCCAGACATCTAAGCATCTGCACGATTCCTCCTTCTCTTTCCCCCCTCCCACATAATCTACCTTCAACTTCTATCAGTTTCATTTCCCAACTGTTCTGGTTACTTTCTGTTGCTGTGAGAAAACCCTGGCCAAAGGTGACTTGGGGAGGAAAGCCTTGTTTGGTTTACATGTCCAAATTGCAGTCCATCATCGACAGGGTTGAGGCAGGAACTCAAGCAGAGGCAGGAATCATGGAGGAAAGCTGCTTCCTGACTTGCCTCCACGGTCACGGTCTGCTGTCTTGTTTATTCCCTCCAGGACTAGCAGCACAGGGATGATGCCACCCACGGTGGGCCGGGCCTTCCCACAGTCAACAATCAGGAAAATGCTACTCATAACTGCCTACAAGCTGTGCTGGTGGAGGCATTGGTGGAGGCATTCCCCTGCTTCCGACTGACTCTAGTTTGTGTTATTCTTCCTTACCATCCTATTTCCCAGCTCTGCCCCTGGTTGTTCTGCTTCGGCCACAGATATTTCTCCCAGCCTCCCACCCTTTCTCTGTGCTATGGCAATAGTTTCTCCACCAGCCCTCCTACTGTATCCGTCCTCACCGTTGTTAAGTCAGCTGTTCATATTGAAACAGGTCTTTTTTTTTCCTTCCTTCCTTCCTTCCTTCCTTCCTTCCTTCCTTCCTTCCTTCCTT